ATCTCACCTGGTTGGCCTGCTCCCATCCCCAACCATCTGACCTGCTCCCATCCCCAACCATCTGACCTGGTTGGCCTGCTCCCATCCCCAACCATCTGACCTGGTTGACCTGCTCCCATCCCCAACCATCTCACCTGGTTGGCCTGCTCCCATCCCCAACCATCTCACCTGGTTGGCCTGCTCCCATCCCCAACCATCTCACCTGGTTGGCCTGCTCCCATCCCCAACCATCTGACCTGGTTGGCCTGCTCCCATCCCCAACCATCTCACCTGGTTGGCCTGCTCCCATCCCCAACCATCTGACCTGGTTGGCCTGCTCCCATCCCCAACCATCTCACCTGGTTGGCCTGCTCCCATCCCCAACCATCTCACCTGGTTGGCCTGCTCCCATCCCCAACCATCTCACCTGGTTGGCCTGCTCCCATCCCCAACCATCTCACCTGGTTGGCCTGCTCCCATCCCCAACCATCTCACCTGGTTGGCCTGCTCCCATCCCCAACCATCTCACCTGGTTGACCTGCAGCCTCTCTCCAAGGTGTCACCTCACCTGTTCCCACTCGCTTTCAAACTGTCTTTACATCTGGGAAACACAGTCCATCTTATTTGGCACTAAACACAAGCTTAAGAAAAGAGATGCAGTTAAGGTACAGTGTGAAGGAAATATGATTGAATCCAAAACCAGTGTACAATACCTTGGAGTCTCTCCTGACCAATCTGTCTCTGGGGAGGAAATTGCAGCTTCAATCTTATCTAAAATGTACGTTTTTTTATCGTTACTCGTTTTTTTTAATATTAAGGTTAAAAAACTTTTAGTTGAATTAATTCAGTGCCACTTTGGCTATGCCTGCTCCGCATGGTGTAGTGGAATATCACAAAAGCTTAAAAACAAAATGCAGTTAGTGCAAAATAATGTTATCAGATACTCAATGCTCCTAAGGACACATATAGGACCTGTAGGAAGGAAGTTGGATTATTACCTGCTGAAGATCCAGTTAAACAACTGAAACTTAACCATATGTTTAATATAATTCACAAAAGGGCCCCAGAATATACGAACTATCAGATTGATATGAAGCCAACATAAGTGCAACATATTATTATTATTATTATTATGGGTTGTGGGTCAGGGTGCCTGCGGCTTGTTTCCACCGTTGCACAAGGGCGACCTCTTGTGTTGAGTTCTGCGGAAATCATTTGTACAGTTTGACTACAACATAACGGGTTTTATTGTATTAACGTAGACAGAAAGATACTTGTGCAAACTGTGTTTAATTTAAAACCGAGTACATTCACAACGGGGTCCATAAAGAACAATATAAACGTCATAGAAATACATTTTAAATCCAACAACGGATCCTACAGGACACCTCACAACACAACAAGCAGGTGATTCTGGTTTTATTGTTCACTGCAAAACAAACACTGTTACTGTCCATACACTGTTAAAGGGAATTTAAAGGGACAGTGAACCCAAAATCGTTTTTTTTGTTTTAAACGTGGTAATATGTCTCATATGATTTGTGTGACATCCTGTTTTTGCCAGTCTCTACCAACCAGGCGGTGAACTCCCTTTCTGAGGCACTTCCACGTCATGACGAAGGGACACCGGCGGCGAGGTGTGTGTGTGTGTGTGTGTGTGTGTGTGTGTTTCTGGGACACTTGCAGTATAACGCCGTGGTGTGCGGTGCATTTCATTTACAACATCGCTCATTATAACGGCCATACACAATGACTGGCTTTAAAAAGTATGACAGAGTTGGTGTGGGCTGTAACCATGGAGACAACACGTCCCCCATCCTTCCTACAACTCTCGAGCTGAAACAGGGGGTTCACTTACACTTTCACAATCATTTTATTTCCACCGGTGTTCCTATTGAAAGTATTTATTTATTCATTCAGTCCTATTTATATTTCATAACTCGAAGACATACCGGTACGATTCCACTGCTTTCAAAAAACAACGAATACAATGATGTTGAAGAAGCTGATAAAAGATCTGAAATAAATAGCTTTGGATATCTTGTGGTCGCTGTCGTTTCAGGAAAATCCGGATTTCCTATTTCCTTAGTTCCTATTGGTCACCAGGAATGGGCCGGGTTGTGCAAACAAGTTCATACAAACAGAAGTGCTGTAAGGTCGGCTTTACGAACAAAGTGAGTCGTTTCAACTAAAGCCCTCGCTCGCCTCCTCTTTGAACACGTGACCATGCAGGAGTCTGGACTGAGACCGCAGCTCGTCCATGATGCCCGCCACGCTCGCCATCAACCTACCCCCCCCGCCGCCGCCATCGCAGTCTCCCCCCGTCTCCCCGCTGAAGTCCGCCTCTTCCACCTTCACCTGCCCCGCCAACGCCAGGAACGCCTCGCCGTGGTCGAACCCGAAACCCGCGTAGGCGGGGTCTTCCGCCCCGATCGCCGGTCCGCTGACGCCCACCGAGGAGGACGAGTTGTTGCTGTTGGCGGCGGCCAGCCTCTCGCAGCGCGCCTGGTGCCGGAGGAAGCTCTCCCTCCAGATCACCTTCTTGCCGCACAGGCCGCACTCGTAGGGCCGCAGCCCGCCGTGGGTCTTCAGGTGCTTCGTCAGGTGGTGCTTCATCTTGAAGGTCTTGGCGCAAACGGGGCAGCCGAACGGCCGCAGGTTGAGGTGCTGCATCTTGACGTGGCGGTCGCGCATGCTCTTCAGCGTGTACGCCTTGCCGCAGTGGCAGAAGTGCACCTTGCCGGTGTAGGGGGCGCCGGCGAGCGACAGCGACGAGGAGGAGGACGGGGTGGGGGGCGAGGAGGGGCCGGGGGGGAACTGGGCCGAGGACGGGGAGAGGCGGCGGCCGGGCGTGGCGGGGGGGGAGACGGCGTCCGCTTGGCCGGCGCCCGTCGAAGGCCAGGCGAGGCCGAACTCGGCGTCGTGGTCCGGGGAGACGGGGACCAGGGGCCGCTGGGAGACCTGGCCGGTGCCGTCCTGGATCTCGTCGTAGGTCTTCCCTTCAAAGTGACCCTCCGCTAGGTGCTCAAAGTCCACCTCAGATTCGTCGTCGTCCTCCTGCTCCTGGGGTCTGGACTCGGCCTGGGACCAGGGGCTCGCCTGCCACTGCATCCGAGGCGAGGGCCCCGAGCGGGGGGAGGAGGAAGGCATGCCTTGGTCAGATCCACAAGTGCGGCCCATCAGGGAGGCGTCGCTGTGCTCCCTCTCCTTAGCGTCCTCCGGCCGGCCTCTGGCCTCGGCTCGTCCTGCGGCCTCTCCATGGCCCGCCTGGCCGTCTCCTGGGACACAACAAAACAACCAATGTCATGCAGGTCGATAGCCAATAACAACGCATTCATTATTGCAAATAACCAGACATTTTTGCAGAATCCCTGGTAAGGTATGCTATTTAAAAATAAGTTAATATTTTAAACCTCTTATTCAGAGTTTTTGAGTGAGGGTGGAATGTCCTCTAAAATCATTTAAAATACAAAACCAAATCAAACTCCACAGGACAGTGGATTCATTTCAACACTATGACAATAAAAAGTGGTCAACGTTAAACTGTTCACATATCCCCAAAACACATCTAAAAAGTAAATAACCCAGAATCACAGTCCAAAATGTACATACACAATTCTTAAAGTACATTTTGGACCCTAACCATTTTGGACCCTAACCCTAACCATTTTGGACCCTAACCCTAACCATTTTGGACCCTAACCCTAACCATTTTGGACCCTGACCCTAACCATTTTGGACCCTAACCCTAACCATTTTGGACCCTAACCCTAACCATTTTGGACCCTGACCCTAACCATTTTGGACCCTAACCCAGAATGTAGAAAGTTGTTTTCTTTACCGGTGTGTCCGACTCCAGGCTGCACACATCTTTCCCTCCTCCCCAAAACTTCCTCTCCAACTCCTTCATCAGCCTCCATCCCTGCTCTCTCCACCTTCTTCCTCTCCGGCAGCGCTGCCGCCGGTGCCGGCAGCTCGTTCACCTCCACTCCATCCCGGCTCCTGTCCACCCTCTCCGGACCCGCTCCCCTCGGATGAAGCCTCACTCTCTGCCTCAACCCCTCCAGTCCGCCCGGCGCTCCCCCTCCTCCTCCGAGCTGAGAGACATAATGTCCATCGGCGTTCGGCGGGGCGTCTTTTGCCGCGCCCGACGTCAACCACACCTCTTCACAGCCCGCGTAATCGCCGCCATCGCCGTACCCCGGCAGCGAGACCCCGAGCTGGGAGTCGGCGGCCGAGTGGGGCCCCGACGAGGGGCCCCTGGCTCGGCCCCATCGGGGGAACTGCTGGGGCCTCCTCCACGTGGCCAGAGGCGGGAGGGCGTCCGGCTTGCGGTCCCGCCTCCTGCCCTCCCGCTCCACGTAGAGGCAGTCGGAGCTGCTGGGGGACTGCTGTCTGGAGGAGGTCCCTGGCTGGGAGGAGGCGGGGGTCAGGGAGGAGGCGGGGGTCAGGGAGGAGGCGGGGGGCAGGGAGGAGGCGATGGCCTCCCCAGGATGGGTCTCCGCCAGCGGCCGCTGCCTCTTGAGGATCTCGGTGCACTTGTCCACAATGTGCCACATCTGGAGGAAGCTGGCCACCGTGACGTAGTTGACGATGTCCTCGTGCACGATGCTCAGCTGGCCCGTGTAGGCGGAGGTGAGGACGCTCTGGAAGGCCACCGGGTCCATGACCGAGGGCAGGGACACCATGGTGACGTTCTTCAGCAACACCTGCGCAGAGAGAACCCGGCCTCAACATCTGGAACTCCTTACATACAGTTTTGCACTACAATTTATTTATACATTTTTATACATTTTTTATATTGCATTTTATTCTTTAATTCTTTGTGTTGTTGTTGTTGTTACTGTGTGTAATGCTGCTGCTACACTGCAATTTCCCAGCTTGGGATCAATAAAGTATATCTACATATCTACATCCCATCATCATCCTCATTTAGCAGTCCTTTTTATCCAGTGACGTACGGTGAGTTCAGATACAGGTTGTAAAAGAGCAGGTAGGTTCAATCATGCCTACAGGTAGACTGTGGACACTGGGGATCGAACCCAGGACCTTTCGGCTGGAGTCCAGCAGCTTAACCATTAGAATATCTACACACTCTGCAGGATAGTATAGAGCGGGTCTACTCAGCTGAAAGTGATGGGTTTGATCCCCACTGTCTGCAGCCCACCACTTTGAACCAGATGCCCTACCTGCTACCTGACCTGCATCTGAATGCTGAGATGTTCCAAACTGGATCCAAAGTGCTTACTGGACACCAACACCAACACCTGGTACCCACCTGGTCGTGGAAGTACGGCGAGGAGGCGGCGAGCACGCAGCGGTGGGCCCGGAACACGTGACCCTGCACCTGGATGGCGAGGTCGCAGAGCCGGCCCTCCTCCCGCTGGCGGTTCAGGTTGTCCAAGACGGCCGCGCGGGCGCCAGGAAAACACACCTGGACGATGAGGCCAGTCGGGGGCGCCAGCGGGACTACACAGCGGGTCCATGGTGAGAATCCACTGAGGACATCAAACCCTGGTTTCTTTATCAAACCCTGGTTTCTGTATCAAACCCTGGTTTCTGTATCAAACCCTGGTTTCTGTATCAAACCCTGGTTTCTTTATCAAACCCTGGTTTCTGTATCAAACCCTGGTTTCTTTATCAAACCCTGGTTTCTGTATCAAACCCTGCTTTCTGTATCAAACCCTGGTTTCTGTATCAAACCCTGGTTTCTTTATCAAACCCTGGTTTCTGTATCAAACCCTGGTTTCTGTATCAAACCCTGCTTTCTGTATCAAACCCTGGTTTCTGTATCAAACCCTGGTTTCTTTATCAAACCCTGGTTTCTGTATCAAACCCTGCTTTCTTTATCAAACCCTGGTTTCTGTATCAAACCCTGGTTTCTGTATCAAACCCTGGTTTCTGTATCAAACCCTGGTTTCTGTATCAAACCCTGGTTTCTTTATCAAACCCTGGTTTCTGTATCAAACCCTGGTTTCTTTATCAAACCCTGGTTTCTGTATCAAACCCTGCTTTCTGTATCAAACCCTGGTTTCTGTATCAAACCCTGGTTTCTTTATCAAACCCTGGTTTCTGTATCAAACCCTGGTTTCTGTATCAAACCCTGCTTTCTGTATCAAACCCTGGTTTCTGTATCAAACCCTGGTTTCTTTATCAAACCCTGGTTTCTGTATCAAACCCTGCTTTCTTTATCAAACCCTGGTTTCTGTATCAAACCCTGCTTTCTTTATCAAACCCTGCTTTATTTATCAAACCCTGGTTTCTGTATCAAACCCTGCTTTATTTATCAAACCCTGGTTTCTGTATCAAACCCTGGTTTCTTTATCAAACCCTGGTTTCTGTATCAAACCCTGGTTTCTGTATCAAACCCTGGTTTCTGTATCAAACCCTGGTTTCTGTATCAAACCCTGGTTTCTTTATCAAACCCTGGTTTCTGTATCAAACCCTGCTTTCTTTATCAAACCCTGGTTTCTGTATCAAACCCTGCTTTCTTTATCAAACCCTGGTTTCTGTATCAAACCCTGCTTTCTTTATCAAACCCTGGTTTCTTTATCAAACCCTGGTTTCTTTATCAAACCCTGGTTTCTTTATCAAACCCTGGTTTCTGTATCAAACCCTGGTTTCTGTATCAAACCCTGCTTTCTGTATCAAACCCTGCTTTCTTTATCAAACCCTGGTTTCTGTATCAAACCCTGGTTTCTGTATCAAACCCTGGTTTCTGTATCAAACCCTGGTTTCTTTATCAAACCCTGCTTTCTGTATCAAACCCTGCTTTATTTATCAAACCCTGGTTTCTTTATCAAACCCTGCTTTCTGTATCAAACCCTGCTTTATTTATCAAACCCTGGTTTCTGTATCAAACCCTGGTTTCTGTATCAAACCCTGCTTTCTTTATCAAACCCTGGTTTCTGTATCAAACCCTGCTTTCTGTATCAAACCCTGCTTTCTTTATCAAACCCTGGTTTCTGTATCAAACCCTGGTTTCTGTATCAAACCCTGCTTTCTTTATCAAACCCTGCTTTCTGTATCAAACCCTGCTTTCTGTATCAAACCCTGCTTTCTTTATTACGCGTACCCTGGTTTCTGTATCAAACCCTGGTTTCTGTATCAAACCCTGGTTTCTGTATCAAACCCTGGTTTCTTTATCAAACCCTGGTTTCTGTATCAAACCCTGGTTTCTGTATCAAACCCTGCTTTCTTTATTACGCGTACCCTGGTTTCTGTATCAAACCCTGGTTTCTGTATCAAACCCTGGTTTCTGTATCAAACCCTGGTTTCTTTATCAAACCCTGGTTTCTTTATTAAACCCTGGTTTCTTTATTAAACCCTGGCTTCTTTATTAAACCCTGGTTTCTTTATCAAACCCTGGTTTCTTTATTAAACCCTGGTTTCTTTATTAAACCCTGGTTTCTTTATTAAACCCTGGTTTCTTTATCAAACCCTGGTTTCTTTATTAAACCCTGGTATCTTTATCAAACCCTGGTTTCTTTATCAAACCCTGGTTTCTTTATTACGCGTACCCTGGTTTCTTTATCAAACCCTGGTTTCTTTATCAAACCCTGGTTTCTTTATCAAACCCTGGTTTATTTATTA